CCTCCTCCTCCTCCTCCTCCTCCTCCTTCTGGGTTCCCGGTTGCTGGTAGCATGAGGTCCCAGTTGATGCTGCCTCCCTTGTCTTCTTCCTCCTCCTGCTCCTACTCCTCCTCCTCCTCCTCCTCCTCCTCCTCCTCCTCATTCTGCTCACTCTTAGTCCCTCCTCCTCCTCCTCCTCCTCCTCCTCCTCCTCCTCCTCCTCATCATCATCATCATCATCATCATCATCATCATCATCATCATCATCATCATCATCATCATCATCATCATCATCATCATCATCACCATCATCATCATCATCACATCATCATCATACATCAATCATCATCATCAATCATCATCAGAATCATTCATCATCATCCATCATCATCACCATCATCATCATCCTCCTCCTACTCATCTCCTCATCCTAACTCCCTCCTCTCCTCCTCCTCCTCCCCCTCAAGAGACATCATCATCGTCATATCATCATCATCATCACCATCACCCCATCAACCATCATCATCATCATCATCATCATCATATTCATCATCATTCATCATCATCATCATAATCATCATCATCATCATCATCATCATCATCATAAGCATCAGATCATCATCATCATATCATCATCATATCTCATCATCATCATCATTATCATCATCTCATCATTATCATCATCATCAGCATCCAGCTCATCATCAGCATCAGCATCGCATCAGCATCATCATCATCATCAATCAGCATAATCATCATTCATCATCATCATCATCAGATCATCATCATCATCATCAGCATTCAGCATCATCATCATCATTCATCATTCATCATCATCATCGTCGTCATCATCAACATGCATCATCATCATCATATTCATCATCATATCATCATCATCATTCATCATCCTCATCATCATCATCATCGTCATCATCATCATCATCATCATCATCAGCAGCAGCAGCAGCAGCATCATCATCATCATCATCATCATCATCATCATCATCATCATCATCATCATCATCGTCGTCATCATCATCAACATCATCGTCGTCATCATCATCATCATCATCATCGTCATCATCGTCATCTCCCTCCTCCTCCTCCTCCTCCTCGTCTTCCTCCTCCTCTCTCAGTCCGTCCGTCTCTGTCTCCGCTCACCCGTCTCTCCGTATCCTCTCGGCCTCCGACCCCTCGTCCCTTGCGTCTTCGCCTCCTCAAGATGCGCTGGCCCCGATTCACCATGGTCACAACGCACGAATGGCACGACGCCTATCTACAAGGCAAACTTGCGTAACGCAACCAGCAAGCGGGCAAAACTAGCACGATGTCTCGAGCCTCACGGGCTCAGGCCCGCCGGCCAGCCAGCCGTGCCGTCCACCCGCCTCCTTCCCCCCAGCGGCCCCCTCCGCCCCTACCATTATATTGTCGCGTCGCACCGCCCCTCCCCTGCGCCCTCCTCCAGCGCTCCCCAGCAGCCCAGCGCGCCCCAGCAGACTCCGACCCCCTTCCGACCCGACCATGTTATTTCATTTTCGCGTCGCACCGCCTCCCTCCCCTGGCCCCTCCCCCCAGCGTTCCCCAGCGTTCCCCAGCAGTCCAGCGCTCCCCAACAGACCCCGACCCTCAGCCCCCACCGCTATAGTTTCCCGTCGCACCGTCCCCACCTCCCTCCCCGCCGCCCCCTCCCCCAGCGCGAACCCAGCCGCCCCGACCATTTTGTTTTCGCGTCGCACCGCCCCCACCGCCTCCCCGCCCCGACCCCCCCCCCTCCCAGCGTGACCCCCCCGCCCCGACCAAGCCCACGCCCCCCAACGTGACCCGCTCCGCTCGAACTTCTGGGCGTTCCCCAGAAACCCAGCGCCCTCCCCGAGGGAAGGGGGGGTGAAGGAACAAAGACTTGGGATTAGGAAAGGAAGCTACCCTAGACCACTTGTGCCAAGAAGGTTGGTGGGATTTCGGCGTGGCCCCAACGCCACGCCCGCTCCCCCCCTCCCCCGCTCCTCGATGACACCGACATCGCGCGATGCTTTGTAGTCAAGGGGAATAGGAGGGAGGGGGAGGAGGGAGGGAGGAGGGATACATGGAGGAAGGAGGAGGGCGCAGGAAGGAGAGCGCACGGAGGAGAGAGGAGGAGGAGTAGGAGTAGGAGCAGGAGCAGGAGCAGGAGCAGGGGCAGGAGCAGGAGCAGGAGTAGGAGTAGGAGTAGGAGTAGGAGTGGGTGGAGTAGTAAAGGTAGGAGTAGTAGGAGTAGTAGGAGTAGTAGGAGTAGTAGGAGTAGTAGGAGTAGTAGGAGTAGTAGGAGTAGTAGGAGTAGTAGTAGTAGTAGTAGTAGGAGGAGGAGGAGGAGGAGGATAGGAAGAGTAGATGTACGAGTGCGAGAGGTAGTCGTAGTAGTAGTAGTAGTAGTAGTAGTTGTTGTTTTAGTAGTGGTAGTAGTAGTAGTAGTAGTAGCAGCAGCAGCAGCAGTAGTAGTAGTAGTAGCAGTATTATTATTATTATTCTTATTATTATTATTCTTATTATTATTAGTAGTAGTAATAGTAACAGTAGTAGTAGTAGCAGTAGTAGTAGTAGTAGTAGTAGTAATAGTAGTAGTAGTAGTAGTAGTAGTAGTAGTAGTAGTGGTGGTAGTGGTAGTGGTAGTGGTAGTGGTGGTAGTGGTAGTAGTAGCAGTAGTAGTAGTAGTCGTAGTAGTAGTAGTAGTACTAGTGGTAGTAGTAGTTAGTAGTTAGTAGTTAGTAGTTAGTAGTTAGTAGTTCGTAGTTAATAGTTAGAGCCAGTAGTAGTAGTAGTAGTAGTAAGTCTAGTAGTAGTATAGTAGTAGTAGTAGTAGTATTAGTAGTGGTAGTAGTAGTAGTAGTAGTAGTAGTAGTAGTAGTAGTAGTAGTAGTAGTAGTAGTAGTAGTAGTAGTAGTAGTAGTGGTCGTAGTAGGAGTCGTAGTCGTAGTCGTAGTCGTAGACGTAGTCGTAGTGGTAATGGTAGTGGTAGTGGTAGTGGTTGTGGTAGTGGTAGTGGTAGTTGTAGTGGTAGTGGTAGTGGTAGTAGTAGTAGTAGTAGTAGTAGTAGTAGTAGTAGTAGTAGTAGTAGTAGTAGTAGTAGCAGTAGTAGTAGTAGTAGTAGTAATAATAATAATTAGTAGTAGTAGTAATTAGTAGTAGTAAATAGTAGGGAGGAAGGAGGAGGGTGGAGGATGAGAGGAGGAAGGCGGAGGAGGAGGAGACGGGGCAAGAATGGGGAAGAAAGGAGGAGGGGGAGGAGAGGAGGAGGAGGAGGAGAGGAGGGGGAGGGGGACAAGAGGAGGAGGATGGCACCAGAGGACGAGGGAGGGCGAAAAGTGCGAGGGCGAGAGGAGGAGGAGAGAAGGAAGGAGGAGCGCGAAGTGAGAGAGAGAGAGGATGAGGGAGGAGGAGGAGAGACGAGGACAGGAGGAGAGGAGAGGGAGTAGGAGGAGGAGGAGGGAGAAAAGAGAAGAGATAGAGAGAGAGAGGAGGGGGGGGCAGAGAGAGAGAGAGGAGAGAAACGAGGAAAGACAAGGGAGGAGGTCCGAAACATGGCTGGGCCGCAAACGGACTGAGCTGCGTCAGGAGCGGACGGAACCCCTGGATCGAATATCACCACTGACGCCGACAATGGGGCGATGCGTTCTGGTGGGTCAGGAGGAAGAGGAGGAAGCAGGAGGGAGGAAAGGATGAAGGATGAGGAAGGAAGGGCGAGGGAAGACTGACGAAACAGGAGGCAGGTAGGAGGAGGGCAAAAGGAGGAACGAGGAGGCGGAGGAGGGGGAGGAGGAGGAGGAGGAGGAGGAGGAGGAGGAGGAGGAGAGGAGGAGAGAGGAGGAGGAGAAGGGCAGAGGAGGGGGAGGAGAACGGGGATATTGATGATGATGCTGATGATGATGACGATGACGATGGATGGGATGGTGATGGTGATGGTGATGGTGATGGTGATGGTGATGGTGATGGTGATGGTGTGATGGGTGATGGTGATGGTGATGTGATGATGTGATGGTGATGGTGATGGTGATGGTGATGGTGTGGTGTGGTGATGATGTGATGGTGATGGTGATGGTGATGGTGATGGTGATGATGATGATGATGGTGATGATGATGATGATGATGATGATGATGATGATGATGATGATGATGATGATGATGATGATGATGATGATGATGATGATGATGATGATGATGATGATGATGATGTGAGAGAGCGTGATCCACCGCCGCTTTACTATGGAAAATTCCCCCCCTCGTCCTCCGGAACCTGGGTGTCCCCCCCCCCCCTTCGAAAATCCCCCCCCCACTCCCAGCTGGACCCTCCCCCGTCTTCCCCCAGCACCCCCCCCCAGCCCCCTAGTAACCCCTCCCCCCCCTCCTTTGGAAAACCGAGGGGGGTCAATACTGGCTCGAACCCCCCCCCCTCCACCCCCCCCTCCAGAAAACCGGAGGGGGGATCACTACCGGTTCGAACTCCCCCCCCTCCCCCCTCCGGAAAACCGGGGGGGCCACTACCAGATCGAACCCCCCCCCGTCCCCTCCAAAAAACCGGGGGAGGGGGGTAGTTCCTACTGGTTCGAACCCCTCCCCCTTCAAGAAAACCAGGGGGGTTCACTACCGGTTCGAACCTCTCCCCCGGCTCCGGAAAACCGGGGGGGATCACTACTAGTAGTTCGAGCCCCCCCCCCCCTCCAGAAAACCGGGGGGGGGTACTGCTGGTTCGAATCCCCACCACTGTCCCGCTGTCCCCTCACCACTGTCCCCACCACCACCGTCCCCACCACTGTCCCACTGTCCGCACCACTGTCCCACTGTCCCCACACCACTGTCCCCACCACCACCGTCCCACCAGTGTCCCAGTATCCCCACCACTGTCCAACTGTCCCGAGGAGCAGGAATATTTTGCCAGCGGCGAGGGCGGGGGGCGCTTCGAACCGGTAGTGACACCCCCCCTTTTTCATGATGGACTGAGGTGGAGAAATGTGAACGGGTGGAGGAGTAGCAGAGGTAGGAGGGCGACGGGAAGAAGAGGAAAGGTGAGCGGGCAGCAAAAGAGGCGGGGGGGGGGGCTGTTGGGGAGGCAAAAAAGTTCGGATACCGCTACTCCCAGGACCCCTCCCGGGGTGCGCTCTGACCAGCATTTCGAGGCGAGTCCAGCGGCGGCGACGAGGGCCTCCCAGGAGTTCCAAAAAGGCGAAAACGAATGAATGGTAGCGGTATTGATATATCTTTTCCCCTCCGGGGGGGTGGCCGTTGGACATCCGATCTTTTCCCCTCCGGGCTCGAAGACTCGACGAAGGGGGAAGCGAGCGATCCTACGCTCGGGGAGGCGCGGGGGGGGCGCACGTCAGGAGCCGGTACGCGCCGCACGCCTGAAGAGCCGGCGGGGGGGGAGGAGTGCGGGCCAAGGGGGGGGGCCAGGTGAAGTCAAGATCAGTCACGGGACCCTCCACTGGGCCTTCTACGCCAGGCTTCCCCAGGAGTGTGGCCATTGGACCCTCTACTCTACAGCTGAGACCAGCCATAAGGGCAGGGCGTGGGGACGCGAGGCACCTGGGACGCGGCAAAATGCCAGGGCTCAAGCGGTCCGGTGGAAAAGAAAGCATGGCCAGGATGCTCCGAACCGAGGAGTGGGGCAATGCCAAGAGGGGTCACCACTAGGGGGGTCGCCACTTCAAGGAAATGCCTATCTTCTCGAGGCCCCAGAGCACCCCAGAGCACCCCAAAACGACCCCAAGCGTTCAACTACATCCTCGAACTTCGATCCTGGAACCTCGATCCTCAGGGGCAACTGGTGACCCCGGCAGTGGTAGCCCCTCTCGGCACTGTCGGAAGGAATGCAAGGGTGCTTCGATTCAGAGGATCCCGGGCAGTTTTACTCTACTGCTTACTGCTTGCTGCTTGCTGCTTGCTGCTTACTGCTTACTGCTTTGCTGTTTGACCTTCGATTCCTCCTGTAGAGCCTGGTTTGACTGTACTGCTTACTGCTGGTTCCCTGGCATATGGACGACGCGGAAAGACAGAACGAGAGGCAATTTCGCCCTGGTCTGGGCCCTGGAAGCCCCGCGTATCATCAATCGAGCTCGAGAAATCCTACGCGAAGGCGGGGCCGAGGGATCGGATCGTCCTTTTTGGTTGACGATGTCGGATGTCTCGCCCTTGTCACTCGTCCGTCCTCGTCTCCCCGACTCTCCTTTCTGAGGGCCTCGTCGCCGACAATATCCACAGACTGCCGCCTGCACGCTCGGCGAACCTGATACCCTGCTCCGCCTCATGTTCACGCAAGCTCTTGCCAGCAACTCCTCCTCCTCCTGCCCCCTCCTCATCCTCCTCCTTCCTCCTCCTCCTCCTCCCTCGTCGTTCTCCTCCGTTTCCTCCTTCTCCTCCTTCTCCTACTTCCCCTCCTCCTTCCATTCTCACGGTGAACGGAGGGCAAATGGACGGGGAGCGTGGGGAGGGAGAGGTCGGAGGCGGCCTCCATCCACGCTGCTCATCCCCAATAGTTAGTCATGCGAAAAGTTATCGGGGAACGAAATGATATGTGTGTGGGCGCCTGTCCCATGGTGTCTGCGATGTTCCGCGCTCTCCCCCCTCCTCCCACTCCGCGTCCTCCTCCTCCTCCTCAACCTCCTCCTCCTCTTCTTCTTCCTCCTCCTCTCCATTCTTGTCCCTTATGGAAAACTCCTAAGCAACTACTCCCTATCGCACTTCGAAACCGGTCGAAATGGCGGGCCGGGCGTTTCGCCTGAGACTTCCACATCATTTATGATCCTGGAGCTTGAGATCTGCAACAGTTTCACGGATGGAGGGCGGGTGGTTTTCAAAATATGGCTCTCGCCTTGGCGCCGCGCACTTTCGTCTCAAAAGTTTGCAAGAGCTTCTCAGTTCGAGGGCGAGTCATTTTCAAAAGTTCGCTGTCGCCTTCGCGTGTTGCACACTCGTCTTAGATACTCGCAACAACTTTACGGGTGGAGGGCGGTTCCTTTTCAAAATGCGGCTCTCGCCTTAGCGCCGCGTACACGTGTAAAGAGTTCACAGAAGTTTCAAAACATCGCATGGTTAATATTCAAAACATAGCGTTTGGGTGCGATGTCGGACAATCAGGGCGCAAGTGTTGTGTTGAGTCGTGACGTGAAAATCCCGCAATCGGCGTGCTGGTACGATTCAGGATCGCCAAAAAACGCAACAGTAGCGGTGATTCTCGGCGCTGCAGTCCCAGTGATGGTGTTTGGCACATTCCAAGATGTTCAAACAGTTGTCTTCCAACAGTGCAGATCATGTGAAGAAGAAATTCGGAGGGAGGGTGTATTGCAATATCGCTTATGAGTCTTGGGTTTGCACTGGACCTCCTCCTCCACCTCCTCCTCCTCCCTCCTCCTCCTCCTCCTCCCCCTCCTCCTCTTCCACAACTGCACTATCTGAATACTACTCTCCTCTCTCCCCTGATGACGTCCAGAAGATGTTCGCCTCCCCTCCGCGCACTGTGTTTTACATCGGATTCCCGGGTTTTCGCTTAGGTTTTTCCCCAATATGTTACTCCCGCTGAAGCGCTAGCCTCATTGCCGCGCTTCCGCTCGTTCCGAATCGTGCTCCCGCCGCAGCGCTGGCCTCATTGCCGCGCTTCCGCTCGTTCCGAATCGTGCTCCCGCCGCAGCGCTGTCCTCATTTCCGCGCTTCCGCTCGTTCCGAATTGTGCTCCCGCTGCACCGCTGGCATCATTATTTCCAGTGCCATGCCACGGCATGGTTTTCGGTTCTTTCAAATCGGCTCCCAAACCTAGAACATGTCCCCCGAAGAAACTATCGGAAGTGACTACACATTCGTTGCCGATTCGTTGATTTGTTGGGCCGCAGAAGCCCCCCACGTCGCCACGCCATGCTATGTCATGCTACGCGTTAGTCTTCAACACCGTGCTGTGCCATGTAATGCTGTGCCATGCTGCGACATCTGACTGCGCGAACACAGAGCTCTGCGCCATGGCACACGCCACCCCCCCGGCCCCGCTCCCCGCGCAGAGGATGCGAGCGGGAGCCACGCGCTGCCCCCGCCGCCGCAGCCCTTCCGCCTCCCGCTCGCCCCCGCGCCGCCTCCGCACCGCTCGAGCGCTCGAACCGCCGCTCGCCCCCGCCGCCCGGCGGCCTCCCGGCGTGCGCAGGCCGCGCCGGCGCCGGCGCGCGCCGTGCAGTCGCTCGAGACTTCCTCGGGCTCGAGGACCGGGAGTAACATCACCATCTTCCTGAACAGGTGTAACAGGACTTGATCAGGATGTGATGAGCATGATGATGATGATGATGCTGATGATGATGATGATGATGATGGTGGTGATGATGGTGATGGTGATGATGTAACAGATGTTATGACCATTGATCTTCCTGAACAGATGTAACAGATGTGATGAGCATATGTGACAGATGTGATGACCATTGATCTTCATGAACAGATGTAACCGATGTGATGAGCATGATGATGATGCTGATGATGATGATGATGATGATGATGATGATGATGATGATGAGACTATCTTCCTGAACAGATGTAACAGCTGCACGGATAGAGGGCAATTCCTTTTCAAACTGGGGCTCTCGCTGCAGACTGCCTCGAAGTTCACTGCCAGAGGTGTGAACTCGTCCAGCAGTTGCACAGATGGGGCTACCCTCGCTCGATATGTCGTATGACCCCTTAGAAGAATAGAGGGGTGCAAGGCATTTCCTTCTTAAAACGGTGATCTCGCGTCACTGGCAGGCGCATGCGGTGTTGGGCTTTCCAAGGGAACGCTTCTTGTAGTGCGACGGAAGCCTTGTAGGGATTTGTGCATTGACTTGGGACGGGAGGGTGTACTGCAGCATCGTTGATGCATCTTGGACCTACTCTGGTCCTCATCCTCATCCACCACCTCCTTTTCCTTCTCCACCTCCTCCTCCCCCTGCTCCTCCTCCCACCTCTCTTCATCATTATCGTCCCCATCTTCCTGCTCCTTGTCCTCCCTCCTCTTCCTCCTCCTCGTCCTCCTCCTCTTCCTCCTCCTTCTTCTCGTCCTCCTCCTCCTCATCCTCCTCCTCCTGTTGTTGTTTGGGACTGCTTGGGACGGAAGAGCCAAATGTCCGGCCGCCCTGACACGGGTCTCTTCCACGGCGTTTGACTCACCCGATTGTCCCGTCCTCCGTCCGCGAGTGAGCCGTGAGGGGGGGGAGGGGACAAAGGGAGATGGGAGAAAGGGGGGCCATGCTGCAAGACCAGCAGATATCTTCGATCGGCGATGGACCCCCCTCCCCACATCCCTGGCGACGCCTCAGGCGCTGCCCCTGGCGCACTACGCGCGCCAGTGAAAGGGTGTGGGGGCGGGGGCCAGGCGACGACCGAGAAAATCAGTGCGGACCTGCGACAGCGTGGCTTCATGTTGTCGCTCGGAGGCTTGCGCGTCTCCCGATCTGTGGCCACCCTACGAGCTGGGCAGCGCGCCTCCTCGATCTCGATGTCCTGCACAGGCCTCTGGGGCACCGGTCTGCCGGGCGCGCTGCAGGGGCACAATTCTCCACGATTCTCCATTCCAGCATCCCCTGGCGCGACACGACGACCAGTGGTTCTGCTTCGATTGGCGGTGCGCACAAGGGGGTAGGGAAGGGGGGAAGGCTTCTCGACGGAGGCTGCTTCTCCGAGGGCGCCGGCCCTGCATCTTTAGATGAGGCCCGCTCCTCCTAACAGGCAGCCGCCTTCTAAATCGCATTCCCCCTCCCCCATACCTCTGCGCATGGCCGACATGTGGTTCTGCTTCGAGCGACCACCCGCCTGGGCCGCTGGGGCAACCAGGGATTCCCAAGGGGATGCGGCGGGCCATCCGTGCTGCCCTGAGGCGGGACGCTCTCGGCTGCGCGCTGAAGAGTGGCCCTGGTGAAGAGTGGCCTCCGGTGCGCGGCTTTCTGGGGGCCGCGGGGGGGGCCAACCGCAAGCGCGCAGGACGCTGCTGTCGCACTCGGCAGTCGGGGAGGCCACAGTGGGCCCGCGCCAGAGATCACCGCGGCGAGAGGTCGCTCTTTTACGTCCTGTCGGCGCTCACGGGTTCCTGGGGCGTCGAGGAGGGCTGGGCTGTTACGGCGTGCGAGCGGGGCGATCGGGACAGGACGGATCGGCGCAGGTCTTATCTTTGGCAAGAACTGACACCCTCAACTCGTCCGGTTGTGTTATTCTTCGTTGTCGTGGTTTTCGGCCAATGGTTGCGCTGTTCGGTGAAACTGATGTGTCACCTTGATCCTCGGCCTATCCGCCAATCGCCGTACAACTGTGTCAGGAGCCCGTGCGATAGTAATCAAGAGCATACAATACAGTAAGGGTCTGTCGAGCCCATCACGTAGCGCAGCGGATCTTCGAGTGTCTGAAACACGTACCCAATCATGGCAGACAAGCGCCAGGACCTAGCGTAAGGGTAAGCCAATGACCTTCTTAAGAAGTACTTGGGCCACAGAATGACACGTGGAAGCGCCAACGAACGCTTGTACAAGTATTTGGCCCATTTATTTGAGAAGTTGCCCGATGCGAACAGCCTGCCAACACACCCTCGCACCCCAACCTTTGGCCTACCCACATCCGCACTCTTTCAATACACCATCCCCCATGCTAAAACATCACACCATGGTGCACGCTCACACCGCAGTATGGAAACCGCAGCGAGCGAACACCAGAGAGAGAGAGAGAGAGAGAGAGCGAGGTAGATTCAGAGGAGATAGCTATTCCTCCTCCTCCTTCTCCTCTCCGTGCATGTCTCTCTTCCTCATCCTACTCCTCCTCTTCCTCCTCCTCCTCCTCCTCCTCATCATCATCATCATCATCATCATCAGCATCAGCATCATCATCATCAGCAGCATCAGCATCAATATCGTCATCAGCATCATTATCAGCATCGTCATCATCATCATCGGCTTCATGATGAAACTCATCCTCATCATCAGCATCATCATCCTCGCCCTCTTCTCCCGCCGCCGCCTCCTCCTCCTCACCAACAGCATCATCATCATCACCATCATCATAAGCATCATCATCGTCAGCATCATCATCACCACCATCACCACCACCATCACCATCACCATCACCATCAACATCATCATCAGCAGCATCATCATCAGCATCAGCATCAGCATCATCATCAGCATCATCATCATCATCAGCATAATCATCTACATCAGCATCATCATCATCGTCATCGTCATCATCATCATCATCATCATCATCATCATCATCATCATCATCATCATCATCATCATCATCATCATCATCATCATCATCATCATCATCATCATCATCATCATCATCGCTCACCCTCGGAGGACGAATGTGGTTGCGAGGTAATCACCCCCTAACCAAAACATATGACTGCCCATGTTGGACGCAATCTGGCAACAACCTGGACACAACATGGCAACAACCTGTCGCTACATTATTGATCATGAAGCACAACTACGCCGCAGAGCTTGACAAAAACCCTGCCCCGATCTGTGGCCGCCGCGATCGCCGCGGTGACCTCCAAGACAGGCCCAGAGGCTCGGTTCGGGGTCGGAGATCACGCCACGAGAAAAAGAGACACGCAGCAGACGATCCGGAAGGTGGGTGGCACCAGAAGAGCCTGGGTTCACGAGGAGGGCCAGAGGAACGGCCATGGAAGGACCCACGGAACATCGAGCCCCTCCCACACCAAAATTGTTCACCGCTCCAGCGTCTTGGCTGTATCACGCCACGAGAAGACGGAGGCACGGAGCAGACGATCCAGGAGCCGGGCGATCGAAGGCGCACGCCACCGCTCGGCCCTCGCGCGGCCGCCTCCTCCTCAGCTTTCCTCCGTGGAGCACCGGGAAGGAGGCCCGCAGCAGCCGATCTGGGAGGTCGACGATGTGCGCCAACGCTCGGTGCGTCCCGGCCGCTGGCCGGGCTGGTCGGGCTGGGGGCCCCGTGTCCACCGGGACCCGGGCCCGCGATCGGCCCGCGAAGGGGGGGGGGGGGGCGAGGACAGACGCGAGAAGGGAGAGGAGGAGGGGCAGGAGGAAGGACAAGAAGAGGGATAAGAGGAGGGCAAGGAGGCTCGACGGTGGTGACCGTGTCTCCATGAAGCTCCGAGCCCCTCCGCCAGCGCCGCCCCGCCCCCCCCTGGGCGAGGGGGCTGCCAAGGACCTTCCTGCGAGGGCGACGAGCCCAGGAGAGGGAGGAGGGGCTCGCGGGTTCGAGGGCTGACTACATCCTGAGGGCCGCTGCCTGATTACGGTCATCGTGCTACCATAGGGCCATGAGGAACGCTGAGTAAGGAACGGGAAGGTGGTGAGCTGTCGGAGCATACTGGGGGACTCTTGGGGGTCTGTGGGTGGCTTCGGGGGGGGGGGTCCGGGCGCCTTTGAGGGCCGCCTTGGGACCTCTCGGGGGCTCACCTGTGGGCCACACTGGGGCCCCAACGGGCTAGCTTGGGGCTATCTCGGGGCTGTCCTGGGACCTGCTGCCCATTGTCTCCGCATTTGGGCCCTCTAGCCCAGAAAGAGAAGGAAGGAGCGAGGGGGAGCATTTACGGCAGGGGAGGAGGTGAAGGGAGCCCGGCCGCGCCAAGGCTGCTTGCAGCCAGCCCGGCCTCATCGACGAGTCGAGCATGAAGGTGCCCAGGAAATTCCTGCGCGGCCGCGGAAGCTCTCGAAGGGCTCTCGGTGGGTATTTGCAGTCTCTGCGTATCGCTATCAAGGACCATCGGAGGCGTCTGTGGGGATTTCGGAGGCTCCTGGATGCGTTCCGATGCTGAAAGCTTTCGGATGGCTTTCGAGCTTTTCGTTCAGCGACACGTATCCAAAGAATCTAGGGAATGTCTGCATGCCTTCTCAAATGTTCGATTGCTTCTGGAGGATTCGAAAAGCTTTCGAAGCTGCTTGCGGATGCTCCACAAGTTTTCGGAAACATGTGGAAGTTTCTGCGGGTTGTCGATCCTCCCACTAGCGCATCGCGAAACAAATCGCGACGGGCGTCTTTGCACCGCGGGGGCCCCAGGGAGCCGCACGTAGTGATCCTGCCCGAGAAGCCCCACTCACGGAGGAGGGATCGACGGCTCCGGCGGTAAGTCTTCTTCACGGGGTCAATAATTTTGCGAGACGTCGGTTCGGGAGTGGAGGAAGGACTCCCCCCATTTCCCCTCCTCCCTCCACATCCTTCTCTACCTCCTCTAAAGTTTGCGCAGCTGCGGTCCCTTTTCGCAACCCTCCGCCATGCCTGCCCTACCTCTCCCGGGGTTGGTGAGTCCCCTCGTTCCGCTCATCTGCCACGCTGTCCCCACTGTGACGAGTGTGACTCTCTCCTGAGGTTGACCAGGGTCTCCGTACAGATGACGTTATCGTGCAAGACGTAAAACTCGTTGCAGCCCTGAACGACAAACACCTGTCAAGGGTTGTGGCTACAGATAACCCTGGATCAAGTAGATAGACAGAAGCCATGGGAAGAGTGGAGGAGAAAGAGGAGGAGGAGGAGGACGACGACGATGGCGAGCAGGATCCACAGGAGGGAAAGCCAGTGCAGGAACAGGAGCAGGGGAGGAGAAGGAGCAGATCAAGATCTGGCAGGGAGGATGGTGGAGGGAGGGGGGCGACGAGAAGAAACGAGAGTAGTCTTTATATTGTCTTTGCTACCTGCTAGTGGGAGATTTTCTCTCACACAGACACACACACACGCACGGACACACACACACACAGACACACACACACACACACACACACACACACGCACGCACGCGGACGCACGCACGCACGCACGCACGCACACACGCACACTCACCACACTTCGGTTGTCCGCGGGCAGGCGCACCGCCGTGCCACCGAAGAAGTCTCACGGGCGCGCGCGCGCGCCAGTCGGTCAAGAAAGTGGCCAGGCCAGCACACACGCACACACGCACACACGCACACACACACACACTCACACACTCACTCTCTCACACACACAAATCACACTCACACACATACACACAAACGCACACACACACTCACACACACACACAAATCACACACATCACACACGCACGCACGCACGCACGCACGCACGCACGCACGCACGCACGCACGCACGCACACACACACACGCACACACACGCACACACACACACACACCAACCACACTTCGGTTGTCCGCGGGCAGGCGTACCGCCGTGCCGGCACAGAAGCCTCATCCCACGACCTCGCGGAAGCACGCGCGCGCGCCGGTCGGTCGAGAGAATGGCTGGGCCTTGACGCTCGCGGCTGCTCGCCTCTGGGGAGCAGGCGCCGCGCGGCGGGCTCCCCCGCCCGCCATGCCTCCCCCCCTCGTCGGAGCAGGGCGAATGGAAGGAACTGGCAGCTCAACGACGCTCAGGAATCGCACTCTCGCTCCGGTTGTTGTCACGATTCACTTCGCGGCTCATGCAATACTCACGCTTCAGGAACCCGCCTGCTCGACCTGGCCGCTTGGGCCCGCCTTCACGGCCCGCCCGTTAGGGTCTACCCTCCCTCCTCCTGATCCCCCTCCCCATGGTCGCTTCGCTCAGGATCAGTTGAGGGGGGTGGCTTCCGAGTGCCTCCACGCCCAGCTCGCCAAGAAGCGACGTGAACATCTGGATCGGCTGGCCAGATGTTTCGAGACCCGAGGACCTTTAACAGTGTCCTCTCTTGTGAATCTTCGCTTTTGCTCCGATCCCGACCCCGATTCCTCCCGACGTTTCCCCCTCGGGCCTCCACCCCCCACCCCCCCTCGTCTCCTGCTCTCGGAGCAGGGTGAGAGTCAGACCACGGCGGCTCCAAACTGGCCCCCCGGGCCCCTGCCGGGGTCCGAACACACCAGCTCCCCGAGCTGAGTCCAGCCGTGGCGACGAGGGCCCCGCTCCGAAGGCCCACCGCCGCTGTCGCAGCTCGCACTCCTCCGAGCAGCAGGGCCACGGGGGGGGGGGGGGGGGCGGAAACCCTCTGGAGGTCGGCCTCTGGCCCCTGGGCCCTGGAGTCGGCCGCTGTTGGCGACTGCTCGCGCGGGCGGAAGTGGACAGAGCCGTTCGATGTACAGCAGGAGCTCGACCACAAGAAACCTTCCACAAGCAACCCAACCCTGAGACCCCAGGACGTCCGTCGACTTGTGGCGTGGGAGCGTCACGCTTTCAATGGCAAGACCATCGAAGCCCAAGAAACCCAGGGCACCCTGGAGGCAGGCAAAGTGCGCTTCTGGCATGGGGGTCCACTGTGTGCCGGCCTTCATGCAGTTGCGGAGTCATGGGGAGCGCTCTCGCCAGGGTCTCTGTATCCGGCTCCGCTGGGGCTCCGCCCGAGTCCGCCAAGGACGATGGCGCGATCGAACTGCACCCAGCGTTGGAGAGAAGTCCCACTCGAAAAAGCTGGGTCAGCGCGGCGGCGAAGCACTGGGGCGCCGCGCTGGCGAGGGGCAGCGGCCCGCAAGGGGCCGCGGCGGGGGCCCTCCAAGATGAGGCCGCGTCAGCCGTCGGCCGTCGGCAGGCATCGGCTCCTCCTCCTCCTCCTCCTCCTCCTCCTCCTCCTCCTCCTCCTCATCCTCCTCCTCCTCACTCCTCACTCCTCATTCCTCACTCCTCCCTCCTCCTCCGCTCTCCCTCCTCGTCCTTGTCCAAGTCAACGTCCTCGGCCTTGTCATCCGTCTGCCTCCTCCTCCCCCTCGGCCCTCTTCCTCCGTCTCCTGCTCCTGTTCCTTCTCCTTCTCCTGGGGTCCTGGCCAACACCCGTTCATGACCGTCATTGGGCCCATCCTGGAGCCCTTCCTGGCTGCCTTTTTCAAATCGGAGGGAGAGGGTTGGAAAGAGAAGAGGTGGGATGGAAGCAGGGAAGGGGGGGTACCCGCAACGAGTGTGAAATGCTCATCTGAGCTGCTGTTTCTAAGCAGTGGTTGCTGCAACTGTAGTTACCGCTGGCCAATGTCCCTCCCCTCACGCGCAGAGGCAGCAGATCAGCCTTCACGCCTCCGAGGATGCCCAGCACGATGGATACGGCAAAAATCACAAGCACCACCACCTGGCGCGGCTGGGGCCGATACAAGGATAGCATCAGACACACCATCACCACCGACTTAGCCACCACCACCTGATGACACTAGCGCTCGGGCCCAAAACAAAAACGATGGCCTCCATCTCGCACATCTGCAACCAAGGTGAAGACCCTATTGGCTGGGACCCTAAGGCCAGCGATCAGAACATCTGTTTCACAGGCATCGCCTCAAGGCAACGACCACATGGCTATGACTCTACGTCTTGCGACCGAACATCTAGGCTACACGGGGCAACTAACATACGGGATCCTCCTGAACTCCCCTCTGAGCACGTCGTGCTCGGAGCTGATCGCGCAAGTGAATCTCAACACGCCGCCGATCATCATTCGGAGAGGGCATGTTTGTTTTTCGGTTTAGTCAGAGCTCGGCCCACCACGCCTTCACCAACTGTGTGGGTTGACAATCAGATTCCCGCACTGCGGCCTGGACACACGTGAGAGCACGATCCACGTTTCTGCAGCCTCACTGGCCTCTCTGGGCCCAGGACTGGGTGAACCAGCCCTACGAGGTCAAAAAATCCCCCCCCCATAACAACTACCCCGACACGCGAAGTCGTTTAGTAAACGCGCCCAAAGAAGGAATCGAACAGGGCAAGGCTGTTTAGTAAACGCCCAAGGCCGTTTCGTAAACGCCAATTATCCGGTCCGGGTGGCGTTTCCTGCCTCGATTACGGGGAAACAGACCTCCTTATCCTCACAGTCTTCAGCGGCAAAGCCTCCTCGGCCAGAAAGTGGCAACGCTCGACTACGAAGGCACGCATCGGCGGTGGACAAACCTCCCTTTAGTAAACCTCCCCTTAGTGAAAACGGCCTGGGACCGAAACCGACGGACCTGGACCCGCAAAAATGACGGCCGCGACGCCCTCTCGCGAACCGAAAACGGCCAAATCACTAGTCGACGTGTCATGGTAGGAGATCGATCCACTCTGAACACACGAGGCTCCTTGACCCAGGCGGCCGCGGAGGCGGCCCTGTCAAGCCTGCACGGCGACGGCCCGCGGTGCCACGACCCCGGGGGGAGGGAGGGAGTGCGAGGGGCCAGGGCAAGGCACCCTGGAATTAGGTCGTGCGTGGCCCCCTGCAGGCCGATGTTGGACGGAAAATGGAAATACACAAAACATGTGCAACACATGCTGCAAAATACGGAACAATCGTCCCCAGGCTATGTTTTGACTATTTTGGGATACGGCAGGTTCGTGTCGTGCCGACCCCAGCCTTGGTTTTTGACACCGCAGGGATCGTTCAACCTTGAACGATCGGCCGCTGCCGCAACGTCCAATCGTTCAACATCGATCGATTCTGGGTCGCCGGCGGCGTTCAACCTTGAACGCCCGCGCTGGGGTCGCCGCTGGTCGACACGACGCAAACCTACCGTACTCCTCTTGTAGAGGGACACGCCCGACTTAACCCTGGCAGGACACGGGTGGCCTCGGGATGCGCGCTCCCTCTGCAGGCCGCCAGCTGGCATTTGCGCGCGCCTC